CACACACACACACACACACACACACGCACATGGCAGATTAGGTGCCATTATGAAATACTAGGAGGGAGACAGGTCCTATATATTTTTTTTAATTTTTTTTTTTTTGAGATAGGGGCTCACTATGCAGTTCAAACTGGCCTTCCACTCACTATGTAGCCCAGGCTGGGCTCGAATGCTTATAGATCCTCCTGCCTCAGCCTCCGAGTGCTGGGATTATGGATGTGCACTACCATGCCAAGCCTATTTATTTATTTATTTTGTATTTTAGGGAAGGGTCTACAGAGTGTTCAGGGTCACACTACTAGATTGGACTCTAGTGATCCGCCTGTTTACAGCTTCCCAAGACCAGGGATTACAGGCACAGACCACCTTGCCCAGTCTCAGTCACATCTCAGCTTATCCCGGGGGCGGGGCCAGCACAGCAGGCCTGGGAATTGAACCCCTGGCTCATGCACTTGCAGGCGCTTTAATCCGCTGAGCTATTTGGCCAGTCCTTTATTTGTTTTTTTGAGATAGGGTCACACTGTGTAGTCCAGGCTGACCTTGAACTCACTAAGTAGCCCAGGCTGGCGCTGAACTCACAGAAATCCACGTGCCTCAGGCTCTCAAATGTATTGGGATTATAGCCGTGCACCACCACGCCTGGCCATGATTCACTGTTTATGTGCTTGTCCCTAGTCTTCCTGACTCTTCAGCAGGGACTGTGCTCTATATTTCTTGGTCCTTTCTGCAGCAACAGCTCAGTGACTTGTTCCCACTGTGCCTCAGATGTCTGCTGTTCACAGCTCAAGCGGAAGGGCCACAGATGGTTTGTATCACCAAACTTCGCCACATCCAGCAGTGACTTCAACCTCTGGAAACCTCCCTCCCCTCTTGACCCTTTCCTTCCCATTTTTTGGTTCTTACCTAATCCTCTCTAGTTATTCCTGGCTGTTCTACATTATTTTTGGGAACCAAATGTCCAGGCACATATCCTTTTCTGGGAGCTGCTCTTCTGTGCGTGGCGGGCAGGGGAGATGGCTCAAGGGCCAGGGAGATGGCTCAGTAGAATAAGTGCTTCCCTGTCAAGTGCAAGGGCCTAAGTTCAATCCCCGGTTCTGCAAAAAAAAAAAAAGATTTCTTCTGTGCGTGGCATAGGGGCCCCAGAACCCTGGAGCAGGTGCTTTGAACCTCCTGTTTGGAGTACGTGGGGATAACTGAACATTATGCTGGGTGGGATGTGCTTTAGCATGCTAGCTTATGGGTCCCAGAGTCCTTGTTCTTATTCAGAGATGGCATCTGTCTGGGTCACTTTCCCATCACTGGGACTTGGTGCCCGACACCCACAACTTAAAGGAGAACAGATTTACATGACTTACACTTCCCAGCAGGCTTACAAAAGTTGGCTGCTCTGAGACAGAACTACATGGCATGAGGGCCTGGCGGAGGAAGCCTGCTCATCCAATGACAGCCAGAAAGAAGGAACCAGGCACAGAAATACACCCTTTCAGGCAGGGTTGGTGCATGTCTGTACTCCTAACACTCAGGAGGCTGAGGCAGGATTGCTGTGAGTTCAAGAACTACAGAGTGAGACCCTGCCTCAAAAACAAAGAAAAACTAGGCCAGGGAGATAGCTCAGTAGAATAGGTGCTTGCCTGGCAAGCACAGAGTCATGAGTTCAATCCCCAGTACCGCAAAAAAAAAAAAAAAAAAAAAGAAAAACAAAACCAAAACACCCTTCCAAGTAAAAGTGTTGGGCTGGCCAGATAGCTCAGCAGATTAAAGTGCCTACTTAGGCAGGTGTAGGGACTGGGGTTTGATCCTCCATGTGCTATACCAGCCCCATCCCTGGGGCACACTGAGACAGTGATTGAGACTGGATGTGGTGGTGTGTGCCTGTAATCCCAGTGCTTGGGAGGCTGAAAACAGGAGAAGCACTATGAGTTTGATCTGTGTAGTGAGACTCTGTAGACCCTGGACTAAATAAATACATTTTAAAAAAGTGTTAAGTACACATACTAACTCCTCCACAATGAATGAAATGATTATGTACTACAAGTATGTGCTAATAAAAATAAAATTAAAAACTCCCCTCCCAATACCATTCAGGGAAACCCTGTGACCCTCCCACTCCAGCCAAGCCTCACCTCCTAGCAGCACAGTCTTCTTAGCTCATGATGGATGAATCCATGGTGCATATAGTCCCTCCATGGTCCAGTCCCCTTCCACACATGAGAATTTCAGGGGGCCATAACAGTCTGCTGTGTAGGAAGAAAAGATTATATGGAGTAATAGGAAAAGGAAGAGAGGATAGGCCACTAATCTTGTTGAAACTGCTTCCTCCTTCAGGTCCCTGTGGGTGCTCTGAAAAGGGGTCCAGCATTTCCTGGACTGACTCCCTCACACTATGAGGCTGCCATGGGCTATTTTCTTTGCAGCAGTTTCGTGTCCCAGTCTGTGGGCCTTCCTGATGACAGGAAGTTCTCAGAGACAGTGATGGCTTAGGCCTTTGTCTGTCAGTCTCTGTCTTGATTTTGCTGATGATCTTGTGAGTCCCAACTCCCCTGGAGTCTTGGGATACAGGTATCTTTGTGTCTTGTAGAAAACTCACCAATCTCTCTCTCTCTCTCTCTCTCTCTCTCTCTCTCTCTCTCTCTCTAATTTATGTATTTGGCACAGGGTCTCACTACACAGCAGCTCAGACTCATAGTGATCCTCCTGTTTTCAGCCTCCCCAGTGCTGGGATTACGGGCATGCGCCACCACACCAGGTCTTTGTGGTCAGCTCAGCATGTCTGGTGCTTAGTCCATTGAACTATCTTGCAGGCCCCTCACTAACTTCTCTAGTGCACTAATTTTTAACTGGGAGCAAGGGACATCAAAATCTCTTAGTTATACACCTGTGCACGGTAGTGTGTTAATCTCAGCACTCAGAAAGCTAAGGTAGGAGGATCAAGAATTTGAGGCCACCCAGGCATACATAGAGAAGTCTAGTCTCAAAAAACTCACTTGGCAGCACTTGGGAGGCTAAAGCAGAACTGCCACAAGTTGAAAGCCAATCTGGGCTACAGAGTGAGCTTAAAGCTAGCCTGAACTCCATAGGGGATCCCGTGTCAGAAAACAAAAACCAAAACCAACCAACCAAACAAGCATCCACTCACTTGGGAGACTTGTAAACTACACAAGCTCCCCATCCATAGGTGCTCCTCCACCTGTTGAGAATCAGTGGTCAGCTTCTTTAGGGGCTACAGAGGAACTCAGCCACCTGACTACCCCATTCTCTCCTTTTGTCTTAGCAGCAACTCCACTGCCAGGACTGGATGGGGGCCTGGTTGCTGGTGCTGCCACAGCCCCCTTCACTGCCCTCCCCTTCATGCTGTCGACTCCTGGGACATCGGACCAGCCAGCATGGGAGCCACCTACACAACCCCCCATGCCTCCAGGGTTCTCTCCAGGAGACCCACTGGTGCTCTCTGCTTTCCCCAGCCCACTGTTGGTGACAGGAGATGGGGACCCTGGCCCCAGTGGGGTGGGGCCCTGCAAGATCATTGTCAACGTCAAGACAGAAACTGTGCCAACTGGACCCTTTCAGACTCAGAACTTTGTTGTCACTCAGCCGGCCTTCAGTTGGATCTCCTCAGGTGCTGCCGGTGGGGGCTCTGAGGCTGCTGCTCCTCTGTATGTGAACACATCTACTGTGAATACCATTGTGCCCGCTTCTGCAGTTTCTGTCAGCCAGGAGGGCCCCTCAGGCCTTCTTCCTCAGGTTCCACCACCAACTACTCTACTTGCCTCCATTGTGTCCCCAGAAATGGCTTGGCCAGGGCCACAAGGGACCACTGGACAGCCTTCACTGGGTGAACTCGCCTGTGTTTCTAAGGGTGTTTATGAGAACTTCCGCCGCTGGCAGCACTACAGAGCCTTTGCCCGGAGATACCTATCCCAAAGTCCTGATGTAGAAGCTCTTTCCTGCTTTCTCATGTAAGTGGGTGGGGGTGGGAATGGGGTGGGGTGGGGGTGGCCTGAGGTAGATTATCTTAGTGCTTGGAGAGAACTTTGGGGTGGATAGATTAGTTTAGCTGTACTTGGGGCAGGTTATGAAGGGGAAGGCGTGCTGTGAGAAGGAAAAATGTAACAGTCAACCTTGTCCTCTTCCCAGTTCATAACAAGCTTTCAAGTGCCATCTTGAAGGGATTTCATAACCCTGTGAGTTTGGTCAAGCAGTTTAGTTCTTACAGATGAGAGGACTGTTTACAGATGAGAGGACTGAAGTTCACAGAGCTTCTAGCCTTAAAGCAAGGAGCAGTGATTGGAATGTAGGTCTCTGGACTCCAAGTGTCAGAGTCCTCCCAGGCTGTGTCACTGCCCTGTGACACTGAACTCAATGAATGGTTGGGCTCAGCAAGCCAGAGGGGTGCTGTGCCTTGTCTCACTCCTGAGGTTGGGGGTAGTGGTGCTGGGCCCGCATAAGGGCTTCCTGTGTACTATTCCTCTGCCTTGAACTGGGAAGTCGGGGGAATAAGGAAAGCCTGGAGCTTACTGGGCTCTTCCACTCACTAGATTTGTGATCCTGGATGGAGCATTAGCACCTTTGCCATCAGTTTTCTCATCTAAAAAGCAGATAATTATCTGAGGGTTGCTGGAAAAGATTAGACGTGCTTGGCAAGGTGCCTGGCATAGAGAATGCATCATTAAATAGTAACCATTATATTCTTATACAGATGCAACCCAAAGGAGGAAAAGGGATCACAAAAGGCCAAAATGCTCCTGATTAAGCATGTATATTTAACTAAGGAGCCTTGGGTCAGAGGCTGTTCTGTTTATAAAGCCATCATTAGTCATCTGGGAATTTTTTTCTCCTTCCTAACTTCCTCAACTGTACTGTACCCTAAACATTTTACACAAACCACTGAATGGTGCACACTCCACTTAAGCAGACTTTGAGAAACCTTGCTTTTTCTTTTGTGGTGCTCAGGATGGAACCCAAGGCCTTGAGTGTGCAAGGCAAGAGCTCTACCATAGAGCCACATCCCAGCCTGGCCTTGAGAGAACTTACATGTGGCCCCTCCAACAGCAAAACTCCTGGGGTCTCCCACTTCATCTGGCCTTGAGCAAAGGACTCCAAGGCTTCCCGAAGTCCTAGATACACGGCATCTTGCTGATTTTCTGCTTCCTCCAGGCAAAACTGAATTTCCTCTTTGAAGATTACAGGCGGAATATCTAAATCTTGAGCCAGTAGGGGCTGTTAGGGTTTGCTTGGAATCTACTCACTTCTAGTCCTGACCAGCTCCTGCTCTCTATGCTCAGGGACTCTGGACAGGATCTCCCTCCAAATGCAGTCAAGACATTTTAACTGGGAATCTGGGTGAATGCTGGGTCCTGGGTGCTAGGGTGCTGAGACCCATGGTCACTGCAAGCTTCCATAGGTGATTTGAATGCACAGTAATGTTTGAGGATGAAGCCCTTTAGTTTTATTTTTGTTTTGTACTGGAGATCAAATGCCCCTGGCTTGAAGCCCTTAGTTTAGGCTGAGCTGTAGGTAGCTTTTGGCTCTGAAAGGACTCAGGAGCCTTCCAGAAGGATCTAATACTGTATTTGATGATCTGTGGTGGTAGCCTACAGACATAACTCAAAAGGTCAGTGAGTAGTAGATACCTGTAAGTTCTATACTGAAGGTATCTGGCAGTGAAAAAGCCCTCTGAGGCAGGTTCTTTTCTCAGTGACCAGGTACAGAACCTCAGTACCTTGAGATTCATTTGGGTTAGGAACATCTTTTAAAATGTAATAGGAGGGCTGGTGAGATGGCTCGGTGGTCTAAAGCACCTACTTAGAACAAGCTTAGCAAAGCACAGGGACCGCGGTTCAATCCCCCAGCACCACATGCCAGCCAGCCCCGCCCCCTGGTGGGCTGAGCTGGCCACACACACACACACACACACACACACACATAAATAAATAAAATTTTTTAAAAAAGAATGAAATAAAATGTAATAAAAGCTCGGCATGGTGGTACACCCCTGTAATCTCAGGGTGAAAGATCATTTCGAGTTTGAGACCAACCTGTGCTACAAAGTGAGCTCAAGGCTAACCTGAACCCCATAGCGAGACCCTGTCTCAAACAGACCAAAAGAAAAAAAAAAAAAGTGAACAGATAGGGCCTTTGGGCAATGGTGATTTTGAAGATGGGGCAGGGAATATGGGTTCAGGTCAGTGTCAGGTATGTGGGGGGAGTGTCACACTTTCCGAATGTGACTGATCCATTGTGGTTTTAGCCCAGTGCTTCGTTCCCTGGCTCGCCTGAAGCCCACTATGTCCCTGGAGGAGGGACTTCCAAGGGCTGTGCAAGAGTGGGACCACACCAGCAACTACGGCCGGATGGCTTTCTATGAGATGGCAGAAAAGTGAGTCTCACTGATCTCCTCACTGGTCCCAAGGTGGGCTGTACAGCTGAGAGTGCCAGGGGCATGAAAAGGCATGTGGGTGTTGGCTAAAAGGGGAGTTCGGAGGAGGGGCATATGCTAGGACAGGCTTCCCACCACCTTGGCACTGAGGTTTTCTACCCTATTGATGCCCTCTTATAAGCTCTCCCAACTCCAGAGGTGGAATCTACATAGGGACCTTCCTATTGAAGATCTTAGGATGGGACCAAAGCCCACTACCTGTAAGTTCTATGCTGAAGGCACCTGGCTGTGGGGAAGCCCTTCGAGGCAGGTTCTTTCCTCAGTGACCAGGTAGCAAGTATAGAACCTCAGTACCATTTTCCCCTCATCCCAGGGAGGGGTTACTTCTGGGAGACTGGTCAGTGGAAGCCAGATGTTCTCCCAGCTCTTATACCCATTTCTCCAGGATATACTTGGTTAAAAATATTGAACTCTGGCCAAGCATGGCAGCACACGCCTACAGCCCCAGCTGCTCTGGAGAGTGAGGCAGAGGTACTGCTTACATCCAGGAGTTTTATACCAGCCTGACCAATATAGCAAGACTCCATCTCAAACAAAACCAAACCAAAAAAAAACCAGTTCTGAGGAAAGTGATCCCTTTCCTCCAAGCTTAGCTTTCATTTTCCCCAAGTCTTCTAGATATCCACCCCTTAAGATCTGTTCTTCTAGGGCCCCAGTCCTGGCCTCAGGCCAGCAGTGCCTGCTGGTGGGCTTTGCTTTGGGAATCCTGCCATTCTTTATGGTTGTAGACAAGGGCAGATGAGGCTTTGAGGAGGGTCCACTGTGCCATCTTGTCAGGTTGACAGTTCAACAAGCCTGGGCTGGGCTGGGGAGATAGCTCAGCAACTTAAGTGCCTGCCTGGCAAGCACAAGTCCTGAGTTCAATCCCCAGTACCACAAAAACAAAAAAAAAGAAACAAGCCTGGGTTGGGGGTGGTGGTACACATCTGGTGATCCCAGCACTTGGGAGGCTGAGGCAGGAGGATCATTTGAGTTTGAGACCAGCTTGAACCCCATAATGAGACCCTGCCTCAAAAAGACAAGACAAACAAAAAATGAGCCTGGACTCAGTATTGCTGTATTAAATCAGTGAGGCTGGTGAGCTAGGTTTAGAAAAGGATAGGCTGTATCTCTGCCCTGGAGAGGTTTGATCATTCATTTCCTTAACAAGCTTCCTGAGTGACCACCTGTAGGTGAAGGGATGTAGTGAATGTGTGAATTTTCGCCAGGCCTCTGTGAGCAGCTTCCTTCTGGAGCCTTGACTTAGGTGAGCCCTTCTTGTCCACACCTGGCCTGGCACCTGGGTTCCCAACAGGCTGGCTCCTTCTGAGCATTGCCTTTGTCATGCGCCCATCTGCAGGTTCATGGAGTTCGAGGCAGAGGAGCTGCAGTTGCAGAATGCACAGCTGAGGGACAACTCCCAGGGCCCGTCTCCTACAGCCACATTAAAACTGGATCCTTCAGGGCCTCTGGCTCCAGAGGTTTGCCAACAGCCAGGTAAGCCTACCCTTTTTATTGTCTTTTTGAAACAGGGTCTCACTATGTAGTTCGGGCTGGCCTTGAGCTCACTTTGTAATCCAGGCTGGTCTCGAATTCATGATTCTCCTGAGTGCTAGGATTATTGGCGTGGGTCACCAAGCTCAACAGCCTACCTGTTTATATATATGATGCAGGGTCTTGCTACACAGTTCGGACACCTAGTGATCCTCCTATCTCAGCTTCCCCAGTGCTGGGATTATACGTGTGTACCCCCAAGCCTGGTTTAGGACCTGGCACAGCATGCGGTACCAGGGATTGAACTTGAGAGCTTGTGCTTGCCAGGCAGGTGCTTATGCCCCCAAGCTATCTTCTCTGCTTGACCCATCTCTAATGGAAATGGGGCAGCCAGTAGCTCAAAGGGAGATATAGGAACACCAGGCTGGGGTTCGGGAAAGCATTGCCTTTGTGTCTGCCACTTGCTTTCCAGGAAGTGGCATTTTGTGTTCCAAGGAACGCCCCACAGGAATCTGGGCTCTCAGGTTCCCTTTGTCTTGAATTGGCTATTACTCTAAGTGCACTATTCTTTTATCTAGATTGTACATGAGCCTCATAATACCCCATGTGCCTAAGAAGCAGGTGCTAGATCAGGGAGTTCCTTTAAATTTCAGCATATATGGAGATTCCTAAAACAGTGATTCTGTCATAGCCACCTCCTCCCACAGCTATGAAATCTATGGCTGGAAATTTTTAGGATGTCTTAATTCAGCCTGGAGTGCAGGTTGCTGCCCTTACAAATAGTTGGGAGGCAAAAGCTGGTGCCTGTGTACCACCTCTCATCCTTTTCCATTTCTCCCCTTAGTGTATATTATGAAGAAGACAGTCCCCAAGACACGGGCTCCCCGCCAGAGGCAGCGCAAAACCCAGAAGCCTCCAGTTCCGCGGGCTCCCAAGGAGATCCCACCAGAAGCCGTGGAGGAGTATATTAACATCATGGAGGGGCTGGTGGGGCATCACATGGCTACCGGGGAGTCAGATGAAGAAAAGGAAGAGAAGCAGCGGGCGGATGAAGAGATGTGTCCAGACCTGAGTCTCCTGAACTACATGGAACAGCTGTGTTCTCAGGAAGCCTTTGTCTCCAAGGTCGGCTGGGTCTGCACAGCAGCCTTCTAGCAGATGCTAGGCATACTGCGGTGGTGCCTGTGGGCTCTGCCACAGATAGTAGGAAGTAGGCTACATTCTGTAACTGAGAAATGGGTGAGCATACATGCATACATGCACACATGCAGCTGGTGCAGTCATGGTTCCTAATGAGCTCGGGTAGGAGTAGGGGTGAAGGGGGAGTTAAGGTTTCATCTGTAGAACTCCTCAGCTTGTGAAGACTCACATCATATATTCTGTTCCCCAGGTGGAGGCGGTCATCCACCCTCAATTTCTGGCAGATCTGCTGTCTCCAGAACAAGAGCGGGATCCTTTGGCTTTAAGTGAGGAGCTGGAACAAGAAGAAGGACTCACTTTTACCCAGGTAAACTTGGGAGGTAGGCATAGTAGAAGCAGCAGCTTACACGGCTTTATCTCACTGTATATTATCTTGGATAATGTGATTCTAGAGAGGAACAGCTTCAGGACTGAGCTGCAAGTGTAGGACAAGTAGATAAAGCACTACAGAAACATAGAGAATGAGGCACGAGAAGGTGGGAGGAACAGAAGTATCTGGTACCATCACCCCAGCCCCTTCTTCTCTGCACTGCCCTCCCCGCTGCTATCTCCTGCGCCCACCTCACCATCTCCTTACAGCCACATGTAGACTGGTGTTGTCTGTTGTCTTCTAGCTGATCCGGAAGCGACTCGTGGCCTTAGAAGAGGAGGATGTGGCGGGGCCTCCAGGTGGCAGTGGGGCTCAGCTAGACTCCAGTCCTTCTGTGTCTGATGAGGATGAAGATGGGTGTGGGTGGCCTCAGCCCTCCCCTGGGCCTCAGGGGGCTGGAGGAACTACTGGGCTTGAAAAATCTGCTTCTTTGGCAAAGCAGGCAAGTCAAGGGCAAGCCCTCGATGGTCCAGGCAGCATGTGCAGGGATGAGAATGTTCTCTCATCTTCCAGCAGTTGGGACCTGCAGGACGAGTTTGTGTCTACACGGGGAGCCCAGGGACCCCTGTATATGGAGATGACAGGGTCTGGGGAAGTTATAAGTGAGCTACCTCAGTATCAGGAGAGCCTCCTGGAACATGCTCTGTCTCCTGGGCACTGCCTGGTGGCTGACGACAATCCAGTGGCTTTGTCCCTTAGCTGGCAGGAAAGCCCCGAGCTCCAGACAATTCCCAGTTTGGATGTTGGACTTGCAGAGACATCTTTGCAAGGCCAGGGGTTAGAAAAGCCTGACCCAGGGTGGGAGGCAGGACAAGAGGCAGAGGAATTTGAGGTGCTTTCTCAAGAGCAGGAGTCTTCAGGAGTGCCCCAGAAAGGAGCCATGTGGGGAGCTGAGCAAAATCTTCCCATGGCTCAGGGTTATAATCAGAACCCTTACCCTGGAACAGCTGGACACAGGACCTGGGTCAGCCCAGAGTTGTGGCTGAGCAGTGAGATGGATGCTGCAGGTTTGGCATTGCCTTTAGAAATTGAAAAGGTCATAGAGAGCTTTCAAGATGGAAAGTTCTTAACTGAGCACCAGGCACTGGGCTCCACAAACACCCTTTCTCTGGATCCCAGAGAAAACGCAGGGCCCGGGGACCTGGGGAGCAGTGCAATTCCCTGCGGAAGCACAGATGTCTCAGCTGCCTTAGCAAACTACTGCAGCTTGGAAGAAACTCTGAGGGCCAGCAGCCCAGACTTGGTGTGTAAAGGCAATGGAGAACAGAGCCCTGAGATCATACAGGATCCCAGTAACCTGTGGGCTGAAAGTAGCTCCTTACTGCTGGAAAGCAGTGTTGGTACCTCTGTAGGAATCTTGGGGTCTTCTGAAGAAACTCTGCCGCCCATGTGCCAAGGCAGTCTCCTTATTCTGGGGACCCCAGATGACTCCTTCCCCCAGGCCAGCCAAGATGCAGGGAGCAGAGGCAATCGTTTTTCTTTTCCATTAGAAATCACAGAACAAGTCAACATACTAGATGTTAGGGATGAATATGGTCTCCAACCAGGGGTCAGTGAGGATACCTGCCCACGGATGCTTAATTCTTATGACCCCCAAGAGGGCAAGAAAGACATTCGTGTGTCTAAGCCTAACCACCTTGTTCCTTTACAAGGTAAGCCAGAGTCTCACACACTTCGGGCCCTCAAATCAACAGCTCCTCACCAGAGCTTTGGGAGCACTTTCCCTAGATGGGGAACTAAGGATACTTTAAGAGGATCCTCTCATAAGAGTAAAAAACACAACTCTGGAAGTGGAGCCAAAAAAAGGCAGAAAGTCCAAGAGGAAGGGGAGGATGAGCAACTCTCTAACTTTACTTACCTCTTGGCTTCAAAACTTAGCTTATCTCCCAGAGGACTTCCTGTTGAAACTCACTGTGCCTTAGGAGGCGGAGGCATCCAGAGAGCACCCCAAGCCTCTGTTGATGCAAGAGGCTTTGGCCAACTTCCACACACTGTCACCAAGTCTGGGAAGCGAGTTCTAGCTGAAGGTTCAGCCTCTGCTGAAAAGACATCCCAGGCAGGTCATCTTGGAGTCTCTGGGGAAAAACCTGCAGTCCAGGAAGTGGTGCCATCCTCACAGCCTCACAAAAGGCGGCGTGACACTTCTGTGACAGGCAGGAGGAAGAAACGCCGTCGTAGCCAGTAGGAAGTTGAGGGACCATCCTGTCCCACCTGCCAGTCCCCGGAAGCGAGTATCCTAGTATAGATGTGACTGGCTGCTTACCCATGGAGTCAGCCTTGGGCCAATGCTACGGTTTTATGTTGGATGGAAGTCAGACTGGCTAGGTTGCAGGGCCGCTTAGTGGGAAGCAAGGGTTTCCAAAGAGTTGTATGCAAAAAGAAAAATAAAAGTTTTCTTTTGGTTACCAAATAATGTCCTTGCCATGCGCTTCTACTTAAGCATCTTTGCTGCTAGCTAGGGCAAAGTGTTACAAAAGTAGGGGTAGTTGCAGTTTCTACAGATCCAGATATTACAATCTATCTCCAGCCTCACCTTGGCTCCATGTAGCATTTTCTTGGTAACAACTCTGTGATTGGTCCCCAAAATTTCCAATGATCAGTTTTCTTATTTGCTCTTCATAAGCCTAGACTTGGCGTTGGGTTCATCTAGACATTACGACCTGCCTCCCTTTAAACTTACACATGGCAAGATGCTTTAATTCCTGTCACGACTGTAGGACAGAGATCTAACTTCCCAGCTCTAGTTTCTTTGTGTCTAGACACAGTACCTTCGGGGGCCTTGTTTTCTTCCTTGAAGAGAGGTTGGACAGAAAGGACTTAGCTTGTCTTGTGGGAAGAAAATTTTCCCGGACAGTAGCTCTGATGTGCTCAGGGAGAGGCCGCTTCCTCGCTGACATGGCTCTCGGCTTCCACTGTCAGCCAGGAAATCAGGTCTTGGTTGGAATATTACATACAGAATGCTAATAAGCTAATTTTAAATCTCTAATGAGGCCAGAACAAGAGGGAATGGGCTGAAAGAGGCTCACAGAGAACTCCATTAAAAACGTGCACATTCAGGAGATGAAGAGACGGTGTAGGATCGGCACTTTCTGCACAGGGAAGAGCGCTGTCCTGGGAGAGGGGTCCTACAATCATGGCCAGGAGGGCGCAGTCTTGGCATCTTCTGGACCGTCAGTGGGCATTCTGCAACCACTCATCCTTTTCCTTCCCAACTAATGATACCAGTAATGTGACTAAGCTTCATTTTTTTTTTAATAGATATAGATTTATATTTATATATAAAATAGTTTTTTACAAAAAACAAAACAAACACAACCCATCCAAACAAAAAGTACAAATAAACTTAAAACAATAACAAAAACCAAACAGGAGCAAAAATAGGGTTGAGGCATAGGGTAGGCTCCTGGCGCTGCCCTGAGTTGTGGGGCTGGACTCAAGCTGAAGAGGAAGGAGAGGGAGGCTGAGGTGCTCAGTCACCCTTCTGCTTGGGTGCCTGCACAGTCCCGTTGCCCAGAGCGGTGGGGCTTCGTGGGGATGAGGCATCTGGTATCTGGGAGGTGCCTCGAGCAGTGTGGGGGGGGCGCAGGTAGGTGCTGAAGAGCTTCCCATAGAGCGGGTCATGGAGGGAGAAGTTCTGGAACTGACCTAGGCAAATAAGAGCAAGGCACAGAAATAAAAAGTCCAGAGCGAGAAGAGGAAGGATCTGCTTTTTTCCAATTACCTTCTCAGATCCAGGTTTTTAATCTTTTCCCTTTCTAGCCTGTTCCTCCCAGTCTTGCCTAGTAGAGGTTCTGACACCCCACATTGACCAATGACTTTTGCTATCTCTACCCAGTGTTTTCTTGTCCATATCCCTGGCACTACCACCACCCCAGTGCCTGCGCAGGGCCCAGAAGACAAAAACTCACAGAGGGAGAGGCCATGACTGGGTCCTGCCTGGCACAGCTCAGCATGCAAAGTCTTGGCAGCAGGGCGGGGTGAACCCAGCAGCAGGTGCAGGATGGTGCTGAAGCCATCTTGGTACAGCAGACGGCCAGGTCCCTCTGCTTGTTCTTCAGCAAAGAGCTTTGGAAGAAAGGGTTATGAGTCAAGCTCTCTTCAGGGCACTGCCTCACCCTGTCCTCCAACTCAGCCTTGGGGGCTCATCCCTTCCAAGAGGAGGAGGCACACAGCCCCCTTGGCTTGTCCTGCACAGCTACACTTGAATCTTCTGCCCTTATTCTTAGCTGAGTGATGACATAAGACAATGGAGCTCTGTAGTTTTAGGCAATGTGACACCAGAAAGGACAAGCATCAACTATCTAGAAACTACTGGCAACAATGCACTGCATGAGCTTCCTAAAGCAGTGAGTACGGCTACCAGAACCCCTGCCTCCACACTTCCCAGGTACCTCAAAGGCCAGGTGAGTCAGATCTTCCAAACTCCTGCCTCCATCCAAAGCTGCTAGCGCTAGAGCCACATCTCGGAAGTCTACCAGACCACTAGCATCCTGGAGGGTCAAAGAGAAACAAGGGCAATGCAGGGACCTGCATCCTTCCTCCTGCACTCCACAGTTCGGTTTCTTCCTCTCTTCAGTAAGCAGGGGGTACTATCTTCAGATCTCAGCTCCAGATTCTGTAGGATCCCCAGTAGTTCTCTCAAGTCATGCACAGCCTTGCCAGGCCAAGCTATGTCAAGTCACCAGTGACAAAGCTCTCCTATAAAGAGATCTAGGAATGTCAGGGACTCTCAGGAATGCTGACACCACCAGACTTACACTGGATGGCATTCCTGGCCTCCTGGATGAACAAACTGGTTGCCTCCTCTGACTGCCTCTACGTGGGAGAACTGGTCCAACAGAACAAGAAAGGGGGCTGCTGGCCTAATTTCTTGCCAAAAAACCAACAAGCAAGATGCTTGTTGCAACAGTTTACCATGTAGGCCGAGTTAGGGAAACTCTTTCCAGGAAATCTGCTCTCAAATGTATGGAATCCATACACTTGGTCACTCTGAGCCACAGCCTATGTCTTAGATAAAAAGATCTAGGGAGCTGGGGATATGTGAAGCCCTGGGTTTGATCCTACTAATATAAACAAAACTAAAATAAAAATTAAAAAATCAAAACCAACAATTCCGTGGGACCAAGATTTGCTGTTCATAAACGTTAAGAATCATCTAAGCTGAGCATGGTGGCATACGCCTATAATACTAGCACACAGAGGGCTGAGGTAGGAGGGCTGCTGTGAATTCAAGGCTAGCTTGGACAGCCTTGAGTATGTAGTGAGAATCTGTCTCAAAAAAACACCACAGGGCCAGCCAAATAGCTCAGTGGATTAAAGCACCTACAAGCAGGTGCAGGAGCCCGGGGATTGAACTCTGGGCAGAGGCCCCACCCCCGGGGGGAGGGTGCTGAGACAGCAATTGAGACAGGGACATGGTGTCACTTAAAACAAAAACAAACAAACAAAAACACCACAAAAAATAAGAACTTTTTTTTTTTTTTGTATTTTTAGGGAAGGGTCTACAGGGTGTTCAGGGTCTCACTACTAGATTAGACTCGCAGTGACCCTCCTGTTTTCAGCCTCCCAAGAACTGGGATTACAGGCGTGCGCCACCACGCCAGCGCAATCTCAACTGCTGTCTCAGTGCGCCCTGGGGGTGGGGCCAGCACGGCAGGCTGAACATATTTGATAGGAAAACATAATTATAGCCCAGAAAATAGTTTGCTGAGATCAAGACAGTTCAGGAATCCCTTATTTATTTTCTAGCTATGTCAAGAAACCACCCCAGGTTTGCAAATGCACCTGGGTCTCAGATCCACTGTCTCACCAGTCCAGCAGCATCTTCTCTATATGATCCTCCCACCTAATCTTCACCACAAACATCCTCAGTGAGGCCCTACATGGTCATGATTCCCCATCTTTGCCAGTCTCTAAAGGGGCTCCAGAAATGGATGGACATCACTGATTATTTCTCCTTTAAAAGAGCATTCTTCAAGCATTGAGCATGCAATGAAAACTTAAGACTTTCTAGCAGAACTCAGAAGATGGTCATCTATCAGCAGAGGTTGAAGTCATATTCTCACTTGGGCATCCAATGAGACTGACATGTTCATTAGGATACTGTCCCCAAAACTAGAACATGTCAACCTGGAGGTCAAGCTCTGGGCTCTGCTTTCTGTGTTCTGCTCCTTTACCTGTTGGAAGTAGCTGAAAGCACCAGCCATTGTCTGAGGGTCCAAGAGCTGCAGCTGCTGGGCAAACTCCTCTTGGCTGATCATTCGACTCCGGCCTGGCTCTGCCCCAGTGTCCACACAGCCAGGGGACAACCTAAAATGAAATTGTTGAAGGCAAGGAGCAAACTCAAGTTCCTTTCTAGACATGCCATGCAGCAGGACTTGGTCCTAGCACCAAACACTGTCCCAGCACAAGTTCTTTTTGGTGGTTCTAAGGATTGAACTAAGGCCCTGTGTATACTAGGTGGGTGTTTCACCACTGAATGACGCCCCCCAACCCCTCAGCTGCTTTTTCTGAGATATACTCACAGTCCCTTGAGAATCCTTTTTACTTTTCCCATCTGCATTATTATATATCCTGTTGCTTCTTTTTCCCTTTCCTTTTACTCTATCATTTATTTGTTTTAAGTGCCCCTCTTTTTCTTTCTTCTGCTTTTTAAGCCCTCCTCCCCTTTTCTCTTAGTGTCACTGCTTGAACCCTCATCTTCAGGGCTACTTACCCAGCCTTCCGAAGCACCTTTCCCAGTTCCCAGAGCTGTGGCTCCAAAGCTACCTTCAGTCGTCCAACCACAATGACCGGCAAGCTCCCTACAAACTCACATTCAGTAGCTGGAATGCCCAGGGCCCTGAGGATGCAGTAGTGGGGGAAGGAAGCAAAAGAAACTGAGGGTTCATTATACCCTGGCCTGTTACAGGTCTTCTTCTTCTTCTTTTTTTTGAGACATAATCTTGCCATGTAGTTCAGGGTGGTGTTTAACTCATTATGTAGCCCAAGATGACCTCAAACTGTGGTAATCTTCCCACCTCAGCCTCCTGAGGACTGGGATTATAGGCCTGTGCCACCATGCCCAGCCCTGTCAGCATTCTTATCTGCCTCAAAGCCTCACTCCTCCACCCCCTCCTGTGGTTCCTTTGCCTTGTGTGTCTATTCCAGGAAGCACTCTGTGGAACACTCACTGTGCCATGACCTGCTGGACATTGTTGGCATACAGGGTGGGGTCCCTGCTCTCCTCAGGGCTGGGCTGATACACAGGGAGGAACTGAAACACAGGTAAACACAACAGTCAGTTGGACTCTGGGTGAGAAGTGGCTCCTGCCACTCCTTCCTCGAGGCTTTAGAGATTTTCAGTGTCC